CCCCCAAAACCGCGCGCGACCCCGACGCAAATCGGACCGCCCCGATGGGTGAAGTGAACCCCGGGGCCGAGTGTGAGGTGCGCCATGATTCGCCTTAGAGAGCAGGGAGTCGTAGGAAGGAGGACGTCCCGGGGCCCGCCGTCGAGGAACCCTGCAGCCCGATTGGACATGCCCTGGCAGGCCGCAGTTGTAGCAGGTGACCCATCCCCCGCTGGACTGGGATGAAGCAGACCTCACCCACCGCCAGTCGTCCCGCTGCCGATCTCCATCACCCCAATGATCACCGCTCCGCTGATGGATCGAGCATGCGAAACCAGGCTCCTCGTCCGCGTGGGCCTCGGGCTCCACGTTTTCCGTGCCACCAACACTCTGTCATATTGCAGGATTTGCTGCGCCTGAATGAACCTGGCGATCTTGAGCGAAGACACCTACCTGTCCTCGGCGGGAAGCACAGTATGGAGATCCTTGGCGAGTCCCAACATCTTCTCGAGGACCAAGGCGTCAAGGCCATCGTGACCCATTTTCGGGAACGCGGCCTTCGCCAGCACCAAAAGCACACTTCTGAAGGTGAGAGCCGACTCACCATCCCTTTTCTGCCTCACGGCGAACCTCTGACGGGTGTTCAGTGGAGGCTCAAAAACAGCGGCCATCTGATCAAATGCCTGCATGAGGGTGGACCTCTCGAACAGCAGGGTTGGCGAGGAAAGCCGCCAAAGCATCATTGTTGAGGGCAGCGGGCAGTGCCTTCAGCGCGTCCACCTCCGACCATCCCATCAAGTCAGCATTCATCTTCTTGATTCTTTCGGTAAAGTCACGTAGAAGGGAAATAATAAAATAATAAAATAAAACATAATAAAATTATTCTCACGACGTTTCGGCCACAACGCAAGCAGCCGTCCTCAGGTGACTTTACCGAAAGAACCAAGAAGATGAATCCCTGCAGTCACGAAAGCTTTAAATTAAAATTTAAGTCAGCATTCGTGAGAAATCGCCACTAAAATGCCACCCAATCACCGCTGGCAGCAACTATTTTTTTAATTAAGGGTAGCCGACGGCGGAGCGGACTGGACGTCGATCGACGGAGACGTCCCCACTTCAAGCTTGGCGGGCTCAGCGCTCCCCGCCGGCCAGCTCCACCGCCCCCCTCCTTCGCCGTCGAGGGTAGGGACCGCATCTCGACAAGGAAGAAGAACGCAGCTTGGAGGTCAGCAAGACGGCCGTGTGCGTCCCTGATGAGCTCCTCCAATGAAGGAGAGGCACTCCGCGCCCCGACTGCACCCTGCTCTGCGAGCAGCGTCTCCGCTCCTTCCTCGGCGGCCGTGGGCAGAATCAACTCCTCTTCATCGTCCGACGCAAGTGCACGAACTCTGCGATGCGTAGACATGACTCGTCTACCGCTAGCTACAGTCTAGCAAGTTGGCCACTTCCGACACCAGTTGTAATGAGTACAACTGAGTCGCAGACATTATCTTGGGAGGAACACTATTTATTATGTAACTTTAACACATCACACAATCTATACTCGGGTCTCGAATGCCCATCTAACCATGCTACGGCAGAACTAGACACTGTTCGCTATCCCGGCCCGGACCACAAGCTGGGTCCCGGACCGCGTGGCTCGCGGCTTCTTCTCCCCGACGTGGATCTTCTTCACACCAACACACGAAGAACCCAGAACTCCTCACGGGCCCCCATCATATCCCCCTGGGCTGGGGCTGGCTCCGCCCTTCGCCCCGCCCACCTTCCAGATTTCTCGAGCTCTTTCTCGAAGACTCCTGAGAGCTCTTTTAGAGCACGTGACCGCCCAGCGGCCCCGTCCACCAGTTGCCCCTCTCCAATATCATCCAGTCACATGTCAGCAGGTCAAGTAGCGTATCATGCCCCAACGTAACCCTGGCTAGCTGACACTCCCTCTCGCTCCCTCACCGGGAGCCCGCACCGCACACCGTACGTGGTGCCTCCGCGCTGACCAGCGCTCACCCAAGCCCCGCTAGGGCTGGTATGACACCCCGTAAGCGGGCTATACATCATGTCATCACATTATCCACCATGGCTTCGTAAGCCCGGCAACACACACTGACAATCACAGTCACTACAAATGTACGAGACTCAATAATGATTCAGTTGAAAACCGAGTACCCACCTTGCTTCACCTAACATGGTTCTGATAAATAAATATCTGAGGAAAAAACATGAATAATGTAAGCATATTAAGCACAATGAATGATAGTCTAAGGCCAGTAAGGGGTTTTCACACAAAAAGGACTTACAATTCAATAGAAAACTTGGCCTTGTCTTTAACTGATGAGCTGTGTCATCCGGGGGGGAGGGGCAATGAGGCTACTGCAGTGATAACGTTTTTTTCAAGCTCAATTTGTTTCTCTGCTTTGTCTTGATCTGGGTCATTGCAGAAAAAGATGTTTCGTACAGGTAGGTTGATCCAAGAGGGAGCAGCTGATTCAAAGCATTCTTCTCTAAATCAGAGTGTTCCTGAACTAAAACTGTGAAAGTGTTGAGCCATCAAACCTCATCTGTAGGCCACGGTCTGAGGACACTTCCAAAAGTGTTTCCTGAGACTTGCAGAAAGGTAACTTTTGTTGTTTTCTGGCAAAATAAATGGATTTCGCACCCAGTACAACCCAGGAGATCTCTACTTAATGTAAGCGCAGTATGACTTGAAATCACAAGACAAGTTGGCCAAATGTCCCTCTATTATTGGCTTAATTTGAGCTCTCTCAAACTGCTCATTGGAAGGGAAGCAAGTAAAATCCCCAGCTGCACATATCCTCTTCCAGAATTCTGTTTTCTTGATGAAAGTACCAATGTCATACAAATGTGGAATGAGTAGCATTCCTTTGCAGGGGCAGATTCAGCTTATTGAATACATCTGCAAGATAGGTTAGTTCTGCTAGCCATTCAGTGTTTTCGTGCATGGTGGCGAATGGAGATTTATGCTCTGACAGAAAGGTATTCTCCCTCTCGACAGCCATCCAATCTTTTTGTGAAGCAATAGTTGCTTGTGTTGAGATCCCATGTTTTCGCACAGTTTGAAAAACATTCAAGCATTTAGTAGTCTTGACTTAATGAAGTTGATTACTTTAACAGCATCATTTAATACTGCATGCAACTCAGAACTAATTCTTTCGAGAACAATGCTTCCCTACGTATGATGCAGTGGGTCCACTGCACATCAGGATTTTCTTTCCTAATCCGTGTTATGAGTCCTTTCATCTACACAGTCATTGACACAGCTGCGTCGGTACAACCATAGGTGCAGAAATTTTAGTTCAAACCATGTTCAGAGAAAAAGTGGTCAACACCGTTAAAAATGTCCTCCAGTTGTATTCCCCTTTAAGCTCTTGCAAAAGAGTATATGCTCACAAATATCGTCAATGTCCCTGAATCGTACAAATGCAACCAGCTGTGCCTCCCCACTGATATCTGTAAACTCCTCGAGTGGGAGTTTACATGAGGCAAATTGTGGCAGCAATAGAACACTTATTCCAAATGTAGTGATACACTCAGAGACACTTGGAGTAGGAGGCACTCTATTTATTATAGCCTTCACAGGATACAAAGGGTAACTACACTTTCAGTCAGGACAGCTAACAGACTGCCTGACTGCCAACGCTGAGAAGGTGAAGATGGTGGCGAAGACTCCAGCAGCCTGACGGGATTCCACTCCAAGCAACAGCCCCGAGCCTTCGCTCGGGGTCCCCTTTTATCCTCTTAGCTTGGCCTTGCTCCGCCCCAGGCCACGCCCCCCTTCTAGAACCTACTCACGGGTTCCCAGATTACCTCACGTGCCTCCTCTATCACCTTTGCCATACATCTCTCTCTCTGGCTTAACACATGCCCTGCTGACACAGGGCTGAAGCAACTACAGATCCGCTTCTCTGCCAGCAACTGGCGCCATGCTCCGTAGTGACCCATTCCATGTCACTACATAAGTATTTAAACAATATATGCACCGATCATGCAAGGAGTACATGTGTAAAGCTTTGTACCTTGGTTATATTCAACTATTGGTACTAACAGTGATTTAATACACAAAACAATTGTTTGGTCCTCTAGGCACTATACTTGTGTATACGTTAACATGTGTAGTGAGTTCAACGGAGTCGCAGACGTACTCTTGGAGGCAACACATTTATTTAACACCAACACATGGGGTAACTGCCCCTTCACAGAATAACAACCTATGGTGGTGACCACCAGGCTAACTACACTAATTACAACGTAACTATCTTCTTGGTTCTTTCGGTAAAGTCACGTAGAAGGAAAATAATAAAATAATTAGAATAAAACATAATAAAATAATTCTCACGACTCTGCCTTCTCGACAGACCTGTTCTCCACCTGAAAACGTCGTGAGAATGATTTTATTATGTTTTATTTTTATTATTTTCCTTCTACATGACTTTACCGAAAGAACCAAGAAGATGAATCCTTGCAGTCACGAAAGCTTTAAATACAACGTAACTAGTTACAACAGACCAGGACCAACAGCTCAGGTCCAGGTCCACATGTCGGAGATTTGTAGGATGTAGACGAAGGTTTCTTCAGGATGAACAACAGCACCGGTCCCTCTGGGGGACCCGGCTTAAATCCTCTGTGGCGTGGCTGGCTCCACCCTTGGCCACGACCACCTTCCAGAATCCTCGAGAAGGATCTCGACCCTGACGCGTGACCACCCCTAGCCCCCACTTGGGGCCTTGTGTGGACTTAACCGGTCACGTGTCCTCTGGGGTCAACCAGAGTGCCACAGCCCGTAGTAACCCCATTTCCATGGCCGGCACTCCCGCACCCTATCCTGTAGGGGCCAGCACTGCACGCCAAGCGTAGTGCCATCCAGCGCTTTCGATCAGCGCTCACCGAGCCCCTCTAGAGCCGGTACTGTACCCACATCCTAGTGGTGTCCGCGATGTCAATACACATGTAATAACATGTGTGACTTGTGAACTCAATACACATTTTCTTTACATGTTTGTCTTACATAGGCCTGTTTGCTTACCATGCACCAAAGATTCAGCTGAAATATTAAAATTAGAAGGAACCGTTTGGAAAGACTGGGAAGAGTTTTGCCACAAACACAGTAAGTATTACTATGTGTCTTTCACATTTGATCACCGTAACCTGCAATATCCCTGATCGCAGCTGTTGCTGGAGCATAGACTGAACGTGCAGTTTTTGAGAGCCTTATTTTAAGCTGGGCAACACTTTCCAATTAATCCTCGAACCCTACAACTCCATGTCTGATTCCCAGAGAGATAAAAAATCCTAATGTTCTAAAATTACCGGATTTTCCCGCATATAGCCCGCATACGCATATAACCCGCAGACGCATATAACCCGCAGACGCATATACCCCGAAAAAATAGCGTTTTGTGTAAAACAAATTTCAGATAGCCCACACCTCCATATACCCCGCATGCATTCATATCTTTAACGTCGTTACCGCAGCTTAATTCCATCATTTTAATACAAAGTTTACATTTGTAATACATTCCACTATCAATTGTTAACATTAAAATCATAACGTGCTCAAAGAAAACAAACTAACCGGAAACGAGTAAACTTAAAACAGTAAATAAGTAACAAAAGTAAATATCCAATAAATAAGTAATACATAACTGGTAGATAAGTAAGTAAGCATACTATTAGGCTTACCAGCATTCGACCTCATCATATTACAGCTACTGAACCGGTAGTTGACCCTGTACAGTTTTAGCACTGGTAGATTGCGCACGGCACAGACAATAGCAGCACAACGGTAACGCCATTGCCTCCTGGCAACAAAGCATTGGAAGTTTGAAACAAAGCTCATGGTCGATACTGTACAGAGCTCAGCCAATAGCAGCGGCCTAAGGGACTCAGAAATTATGATTCCGCGTCTGGTAGACGCTTGTTAAGGCCCTTCCCATTGTGCAATCCATAGCCTTAGCTTAAACTTTCGCACCCCCCTACAGTCATTACGTTAAAAAAAGTTTGCCCACTTCAAATATTGTCGTTTCATTGTACAAACAATTTGAATAATTTAAAACGTGATAACATGTGCAATTTTTGTGTGAGTGGTTTATTCTGCTACCATCATGGGTGATGAAATCAAACTTGTATCTTAGTGTAAAGTAGTAACTCGGCGGGAGACGACTTCACGGGTAGCACACTCTTTTTATTAACACCAAACTGTTACACGGGTGACTAACACTCACTCAGCTACTCGGGTGACTAACACCCACTCAGCTCCACGGGTGACTAACACCCACTTAGCTACTCGGGTGACTAACACCCACTCAGCTACTCGGGTGACTAACACCCACTCAGCTACACGGGTGACTAACACCCACTTAGCTACTCGGGTGACTAACACCCACTCAGCTACACTGACACGGGCTCTTACGCCCCGTAGCCTTCCGGAACACACCCGGCTGGGGTGTCCGTCTCGGCTCTGGGTACCACCGTCCCGACCCACGCGGGCGTCGGACTACGGGTTCCCCAGTCTCGGCTCCGAGCCACACAGGGCCCCGGTCCTGACAAGGACGGCGGGACTAGGGGTCTCGGGCCACTACCTCCTCCACTCCGTCTTCGGTCTTCAACCGGTTAACACTGACCACGAGTGCTCTCGCGCGTCTCCCTTTATGCCCCTCCTGCGGACGTCGCTGAGAGCACCCATCTTATTTGACCAATCACTGCGCGCGCTGGCTACGATCCTCTTTTCCCCGATTGTGTCAGCGCGCCTCACCACCGGCGCGCGCGTTCATACCACGCCCACATCGCGTGCCCAACCCCACGCCCCGTGATCCATCACTGTCGGCGCACGTCAACACCACCACTACATTAGGAATGAGCTGCATGCTGCACTGCCATTGGGAGAAAGATACGTGGTTATACTTCACCATGCCGGTCGGTGTGGGTTTGTGAAAATAATCGCCCAATATGGAAACCCTGGCCACTTGGAACTAAGTCAGGGGGATATAGCACCTCAAATATTACATCATTATTGAACTGTGATTGACTAACAGTTATAACTTACTATATAATAATTGCTGCTATTGACAACACTGCGAGATTTGTCATGACTGTTGACTGCTAGTGATTGTAACCACTAGGTTCGCCATTGATATGCACACTGCATTGTGCATGTAGAATTCTACCGTTGAATTGATATTCAGTGTTTGCTTCAAGTATGTGCATTAAACGCATATGTGTAGATGCACTGTGAAATGTGGTTGTGCTGTGCAGTATTGCATTGCGATAAACATGCTAAAATCGAAATGTGGTGTCATGTAATGTTACGGATCATATTAATGTTTTTTAGCTGCTCAACAAATATTGACTGAAAACGGAGAAGGAATCATTACAGGGTTTGGAATGGTTAATGCAACTGCAATACCTACACAACTTCAACAGGCCACCATTCAACTTAAAGTAAGGAATACACATCCTCTAAATCATAATAACCGCAAACTGAGAATGCATCCATGTGCTTTAATTTTTTTCATTATTGGAATAAAAATATAAATTTATTGTCATAAATGAGTAAAAATGTGTGAAATATATTTTCACTTCAACATTATCATACATTATTTCCCAGTATTTTTTCGTGTTAAATATAAATTCCGCAGGTACATGTAACAGAGTGTGTATTGAAAGAGGTCGCCTTGTATCAAACATGCCAAATCTAGTGTTTTGTGGTTTTATTTTTAATAATCATAAACTCTCTTTGCTCAGGACAACTCTGCTTGTTTAGAAGAATTTGTGAAATTCCATAGACCTTTCAGCGCAGACACACTCAAAACATTTATAACAAAAAATATGCTGTGTGCTGGCGGTACTGGAGCTGATGCCTGTAAAGGTATGGATTCATGTGCAGTGTCATTTTTCATACATTTAGTGAATAAACAAATCCGAGAGAGAGGGTCACAGCAAACCCAGCTACTGTATTCCCCAATTCATTAACTTCAATTCTGTCTCCAGATGTCTAAGTTTTGATTATTCATATAGAATTATTAAGATTTTATGTAGAAATTGGTTCACCGATTTAAGGTCTACATAAAAAAATAAAAAAAATAACGTGAATGTTCAATTAGCGGAGTTTAACTAAATTAGACGTAGGGGGCGCAGAGAGCAGACTCACCTGCACAGAGACTGTCATGAGATAATATAAAATTTCATGTGTAGCCCTTGCTATGAATTCACTGCTGAAGCCACACCTTTTGCCCATCTAGAGTTTTACCATACTTCATGATGGTCGATGCAGATTGGTTAAGGGATGCTCACGACTGGTTAAGATATCACCTCATCACTACTATTAGTCGTGGCATAGTGCATGAACCAAGGTGCCACCACATTGCATATGCATGTTTGTCTTCTTTGATACGCAAACAATGTACGTTTGGAAAATCAGGAGCATTTAGCTCATGTTAAAAGCCATGGTGATACATTTGATGAGACGTTTAAAAAAATTGTCACGTTGTTAAAAAGGCATATCTTTTTGGAATGTTGCGTATTTAATTAGCCATTTTGTTCATTGTCAAACTTCACCAAACGCTTAGCATAAGGTCGGGATGGAAGAAAAGCTAAATAATGCTGGGCTGGAGACTTCCAGCTCGTGAGCTGCAGATTCTGAGATTGCCCGTATGGCTTCATACGGGCAATCTCAGGTATCCAAGCTGATGGCAGCATTTAGGAATGAGGGTCCTCTTTGCCGAATGTGTCAATGTGAAATGAGGTGGTTGTAATAGAAGTTATAGATGAGTATAACAGCTCTAGCAATATTTGGTTTTACTCCACTCTAGCGTGCTATAGTCAATCACACAAGGGTAGGAATTTGCTTTGCAACATATATCGAGTTTTGCAATTCAGTATCCTTCATATTCATCTGCAAGGTGTTAAACACCAAGTATACTCGCTTATTTTTCCAGCATTATCTTTGCACACGTCATGCTCTAGTATTGGTGATGTTTTTAGCAAGCAAATTAATATTTTGTTTTACCTGCTAGGCGATTCTGGAGGACCATTTATTGTGAAAAGATCGGAGCGTTGGATTCAGGTTCGACTGCTGTTTATTGTCTTTGAGACTTTAAAACCGAGAGCAATACGCATAAAACCAATTTGTCATTCATTTTTCATGTTTTAGGATACGTTATTCATATTGAGACAGAATATCTATGTTGTAGTCCATTAAAACTACGAGTGATTTTCACATTCATTTCTATGTATCATTTTTATAGTTACTGTAACTGTTTGACGTTTTGTGCCTTTAGGCATCTGCTCTGCAACTGTAATTTTTTTTTATTTCATCCAAGTCTTTTCTTACAGATTGGTGTTGTAAGCTGGGGAGTTACTCCAATCTGTGGTGGTGGACAAAGGAATGGCTTATACACAAATGTTGTACAGATGATGCAGTGGATTAAATCACATGTCTATGATATCGATTTTAGAGCAAATGGGCAAGTTTTATAACACCAAATAGTAACATATCTGGTGTGGACCAATCCGTTTCAAAGACGATGCATATATTATCAGAGTACGTTTTTTGTTTGCATTCTGACCACAATTATTGTGGTTAATGCAGACATGATTCCTTATAACACCTGTTTTGTTGCCAGAAAAAAAGGGGAAAATCTATTCTCAGTAACTGATCATTATCTTAAACCAACAGAATAACCTCAACTCATAAAAAATTAACCCGTAAAAGTTTTTCACTATAAATCCTTTATATGCGTGGCGGCTAGAGTCCTCTCGTCCTCTGGCTTGAGATGGCTGCCACCTATGGGTCAGATGATTGCCTGCCACCATTAAGCAATTGGTAATTAAATATAATTTTTAAAATCCTAAAAAGTGTAACATTTTGGATTTTCTTTTCACGAAAATAAATTGTCACGCACAACGGGTCTGTGTGCAAAATGTCAGCTCGATTGGATCACGGGAAGTGGGTTAAAAAACGACTGAAAGATTTGCACGGTCGTAAGCGCGCAAGCAAGTGAACTTAATATAAAGGATTTAAAAATAGACTGTAATACAAGGACTACAGTATATTAATTTCAATGTTTACTCTGAAATGAAAGCCTTACCATGTGTTAAAGTGTTGTCCTTATATATGTATTGCTGTTTTTTTCCACTTTTCCCTCTAAATGAGAGAAGTTATTAAGTTAGCTGCACAACAGAGTGATGGTTGTTATGTGTCATTAAAACTGCTGATTTACGCACTAACCTTGCATCACTGGCAAATATTTCAATCACAGTCATCAAATGTGAAATTAAGATTGTGTAGGAAGAGTGTATAAATGCATGTTGAAACTGTTATGATGAAGGGAAATTTAATTGCGATTTAATCACGGATGATACAATTTACATATTGCAATTTTGGCAGGAAATAATGGCCAAAAGCTGTGTTTTTCAGAATTATAGCCCCCAACTATCGAGTGTTGATTGGGAAATCTGGGAGTTGGAGTTTTACATCCTGAACAGATTACTATCAGCAGGTTTGGCTTTGTTGGTTTTTTAATGCTCTGCCTCCCCATGTGAAGGGCTGTGATCATTTTTGGAAGCGCACTGGCATTACCAGCCACTCTGCGTCTCAGATGAGATTATGTTGTGGTCTTTGAGAGATATTTAAGCACTGACTGCAAACCCTTATTTTTGCTGGGAAGTCATGCCAGAAGAAATTTCAGCCATTCTCAATCTACCAGTGGATCTAGGCCACCCCGCACCATGTTATTCAGGGTCAGTGCTGGTTAGTGAAAAGGGGGAGGGCAGGACCAGTTCTCGTATATTTCCACTGATAGCCATGGCCAGGAATCAAACTTGAGTCACCGGATTCTTAGCATAGCGCATTAACCAATGGACAACCACTCTACGCTTTTCACTCGTATATGATTACATAAAGCGTATGATTATGGCTGTGGCTCATTATGTATATATATCTGTGCGGACAGCGGCTCTGTCATTTCTGATCAAGCCCTGTGAGGCGTTGCCAGGGTTGTGCATCTGTGATGTCGTGGATGTAATGCTCTGGATGCAAATTTGTGGGTGTGCAGCTGTGGGTGTTCTGATATTGGTGATGCTGTGGATGGCAAGTTTGTGTGTGAGGTTGGTGTGATGATGTGTGTGTAATGGTGTGCTTGTGTAAAAGAGGTACACACTTTTGTTCCTTGAGGGGTACTTGTCCAACAGTCTTTAACACCGCACTGCACTATTTTCTTTCTACTCCATTCCACCATACGTTGCTTTTCTTTGTTATTGCCATCCTCACTTCACACCCCTTACATATATACTCTCCCTCTCTCTCGAACCTTCTAGAAGCTCCTCGAACTTCTGTCCAAGTTTCCCCATCTTTTATTTCCTGCTCTTTTCCATTTGAATTCCCAGGCTAATCCCCTGACCCCTACATGTTCTCACGCTTCCCAGAGTGGCTGTCGGAGCAGCTAATCAGGGTTCCTGACCTTGCATGTTGCCGGCCCAGTCCTCTGATCCGTCATGCATCGCCAGCGCCGGTAACACTTCCTTTGACCCTTCCTCCGGTTTATTTTCAGTTAATGTTGAGGACCTCTCAGCCTCCCTTACATCACCTCCCCTCTCTTTGAGGAGAAGCCATCAGCTTAATCTATGTTATTCAAGTGCACCCTTACAGAACAGTAGTTGCGATGAGTGAATATTTTGAGCATTACAAATTAGCATTATTATTAATGGCAAAAAAAACAAAAGAATATACATAAATACAAAACGCAACAATAAAAGAACACAAGTGATTATGGCACGAGTACATTTAACGGGACACCGAGAGTACGCAGTCATGTAGATGTGGTATGTGGAATGGCTGAAGGCCACCCCACAGGCTATTGTACCAATGGCCTTCGCGCGCAGGACAATGACTTTTGGTTGCCTTTGGCATAGGTGTTCGTGGACGCATCCGCCATGGAAGCTGTCACTAGGTATCCGTCAGGTAGATGAACATGCTTGGGAGCATAGGCGGTGAGGTGTGGAAAGCTGTAAGCCCCAGAATACTGTGGAATCGCCTCCCCATCAATTGGAAGTAAGGAATTATGGTAGTGGTTGTTGCGTATACCCCCACTGAAAATAAACATCAGTGGAGGGATGCAGGCAAGGCCGATGAGTTGGATGCCTTCTATGACGCCCTGTCACAGGTGCTATCTAAAGTAGCCCCTCGGAATAGTCATCATCTTGAGTGATGTCTCGGCCTTGCTGTGCGCTGCGTTGTACCACTATCCGAATAGTTAACCTCGATTTTGATTTAAAGCTTTCGTGAATGCAGGGATTCATCTTCTTGGTTCTTTCGGCAAAGTCACGTAGAAGGGAAGTAATAAAATAATAAAAATAAAACATAATAAAATTATTCTCACGACGTTTCGGCCACAACGCAAGCAGCCGTCCTCAGGTGAAAACCAGGTCCGACGAGGCGACAGAGTCTGAATTCAGACTCTGTCACCTGAGGACGGCTGCTTGCGTTGTGGCCGAAACGTCGTGAGAATAATTTTATTATGTTTTATTTTTATTATTTTATTACTTCCCTTCTACGTGACTTTACCGAAAGAACCAAGAAGATAGTTAACCTCGAATTCAATAAACCTCCAGAGCCAGGGTGAACGTCCGACTCCAACGTATTTAATGAATAGAACGAGGTAAAACTAATGCAAAAACACAGCACAAAATACAGCATCTGTTAATACAAGTGTAGTGACTGTGAATGTCACTGTGTGGTGCCGGGCTTGCGAAGCCAAGGCGGATACTTTGTTGTCATTATGTGCAGCCCGGTTACTGGGCGAAGTACCAGCCCTAGCGGGGCTTGGGTGAGCGCTGGTCAGCGCGGAGGGACCACGTACAGTGTGCGGTGTCGGCTCCAGTGAGGGAGTGAGAGGGAATGTCAGCCAGCCAGGGTTATTTTGGGGCATGATACGCTGGACGACCTGCTGACACGTGACCGGATGATATTGGAGGGTGGCCACCGGTGGGTGGGGGCCATTGGGTGGTCACGTGGTAAAAAGGAGCTATCGGGAGCCTTCGGGAAAGAGCTCGAGAGATCTAGAAGGTCGGCGGGGCGAGTGACGGAGCCAGCCCCAGCCCAGGCCGATATAATGGGGGCCCCGTGAGGGGCTCAGGGTTCTTCAGGTCGTAGGTGAAAAAGATTCACGTCGGGTTGAAGAAGCCTCGAGCCACGCGGTTCGGAACACAGCTCGTGGTCCGGACCGGGATAGCGAACCATGTATAGTTCTGCCATAGTGTGGTTAGATGGGCATTCAACACCCAAGTGGAGGTGACATTATGTTGTGTTGAGTTGGTGAAATAAAGTGTTGCTCCGAAGACAACGTCTGTGACTCAGTTGGACTCACTAAAACTGGTATCGAAAGTGGCCAACTTGCTAAGCTGTAGCTAGCGGTAGGCAAGTCATGTCTACACGTCGCAGAGTTCGCGCAGTCGGGGCGCGCGGCGCCTCGCCTGGGGATGGCGAGTCGGCTCTCGCCTACTGAAGTGCGCTCTTGGCGCCGGCGAAGGCCGCGTTCCCAAAAATGGACCACGATGGCCTTGATGCCTTGGTCCTCGAGAAGATGCTGGGACTCGCCAAAGACCTCCATACTGTGCTCCCCACTGAGGACGGTGAGGTGTTTTCACTCAAGATCGCCAGGTGCATACAGGCACAGCAGACCCTGCAATGTGACAGGGTGTTGGTGGCGTGCTCTGCGTCTTTTGCGGAGCCCGGGGCCCATGCGGACGAGCAGCCGGCTCCTTCGTGCTTACTGCGGCGGGCGAGGTCTACATCATCCCAGTCCAGCAGTGGACAGGTCGCCTGTTACATCTGCGGCCTACCGGGGCACGTCCAATCGAGCTGCCGGGTTCCTCGACGGCGGCCCCTGGGATGTCCGCCTTCCTAATACTCCCTGCTTCCTAAGGCGAATCGCGGCGCACCCCACATTCGGGGTCATGTGCGGTTTCAGGGGGAGTCAGTGCGTGTTCGCGATGCGCGGCCGCTCTGACCGGATCAGTGGTTGGGGCTGGCACATCGAGTAGTTGCGGCGGCCGCGGGGTCGTCGGCTGTGCATGGGTTTATTGAGGGGGTTAAAATTTGCATGCTAGTTGACACTGGCGCATCTTCAACCATTATTTCCGACCTCATTTACAATATTTTGTCGCCCGTTGGATCCTGTGTTTCGCCGCCAACGGCGGATCGTTGGGGATAATCGGTCGGATAACTGTTGAGTTGCGCATTGCCGATGTCACATTGTCGGGCCATGTTTTAGTTTCTACGGCCCTGGCTGTTCCATGCTTACTGGCGACTGATTTTCTCGGCAAAATGCCCTTGAAGATTTTTATCGACCAGGGCTGTTTGAAATTACCGTCGGGACGGTGTATGGCATTTCTCCCATTTCCGACCCGCATGTGTTCTGCTAATGCCACGGTGCAAGCACTTGTGTGCCAAACGGTGCGGATTCCGCCCGGCGCACAAATATCGGTGCCCCTTCAATTGTGTAAACCGCTCGATGCGCGCGCTGTGGGGGACGGTATTGTGTTGGGTCCCTCAAATAAGCTTAGTCAGGGGATGTCACTCGTAGCGGCTCAGACGCTGGTCTCCCGGGACCAGGCACCATTTATACAAGTCCTTATTGCTGGGTCGGACACGACGGTCATTCCGGAGGGTTCCGTGATTGCACATGCATCTCTGGCGTGTCTGGAAGCGGATGTCATGGACAATGTCGGGGTCGGCGTTTGGGCTCACGGACCTCGGGATGTGGATAAGGGCTGGATCGATAGACTGTGCTCTGAATGTGGTGATTTATCCGCGGGACAAATGGGGTAGCTGAGATTGCGCCTGCGGGAGTTTTTGGACATTTTTAGTAAAAGTAAATTTGATATCGGTCGCATGTCCCTTTTGAGCCACCATATTGACACGAAAATTGCCGCACCCATTCGGCAGAATCCTTACCGCCTGAGCCCGGCCGAAAAGGAACACGTTAGGGTGGCGGTTGATGAGATGTTGGCCGCAGATATCATCTCGCCATCCACCAGTCCATGGGGTGCTCCGATCGTACTTGTTAAAAAGCACGACGGCAGTTTGCGCAAGCTTAACAAGGTTTCTGTTGCGGATGCATACCCCTTGCCTCGTATGGACGATTCGGCAGGCACGCGGTTCTTTTCCACTCTTGACCTTCTGTCGGGCTTTTGCAAGCTGCCGCTTGACAAGGCTTCAAGGCCCAAAACGGATTTTAGAAGACCACAAGGGTTGTTTGAGTTTAACCGGCTTCCGATGGAGCTCCACTCCGCGCCGGCCACCTTTCAGCGTTTGATGGAGTTGGTTTTAGCGGGCCTCCAGTGGGATTCGTGCCTAATATATTTGGACGACGCCATTGTTTTCGGTTGCACGTTCGATGAGCATTTGGATGCGGGTTGTTTTCGTTAAGATGTGTGCGGCCGACCTGAAATTCAAGCCCCAAAAATCGGTTCGACCCTTTAGCCATATTGTCAGCAAATCGGGAATCATGATAGAACCGGAGAAAACTGCTTGCGTTCGGACGTGGCTGACCCCCACCTCGGCCAACTTGTCACGGGGTTCGCATCTATTGCAAAACCTCTCCACGCATTGACAGCTAATGGCCAACAACTTCATTGGGGGTAAGAGGATGAAGCTGCGTTCCGCTCTATTCATGATGGGCTGGTTAACGCCCCTCCCCTGCGTTATCCCGTCTTTTCGTTGCCATTCTCTGTTGGACATGGATGCAAGTAATACCAACATTGGTGCAGTGTCATCCAAAGTTGTAAATGGCGTGGAGCACGTGGTCGCGTATGGCAGCAAGGTGCTGTCTCCGGCCGAGCAGCGGTACTGCGTAACGCGCCGGGAGCTATTGGGTATTTGTGCAACAATATTGGCCGTACTTGTACGGGAAACATTTCAAAGTGCGCTCCGATCACGTGGCGCTCCAGTATGCACTGTGCGTGGATCAACCCTCTGGTCAATTGTCACTCTGGATCGAAATCCTGCATGATTTTAATTCAAAGTTAGGTATTGTAAGGGTTCTCCGCCATACGAACGTCGATGCCCTTTCGTGATTGCCAGCGGG